CTTTGTTATCCTATTTAGTCTGCGATAGTCGACACAGAACCGGAGGCTTCCGTCTTTTTTCTTGACGCGGACGACTGGTGTTGCCCAAGGCTTTTCGAAGGTTGAATGACATCATCTCAAAGCATTTCGTTCACTTTGTTCCGATTGGCTTCCCGTTCTCGTGGCGACACATGGTAAGGGGTTTGGCGGAGCGATGTGTGCTCGTCGATTATGATTCAAGGCTTAACAATTTGTGTTTGCGGCACCTTAGATGAGGTCACGAAGCAGTCGCCGTAGTTTTCTAGGAGATGGTGGATTCGATTTTGTCTGTCACTGGGTAGCTTAGGATTAATGTCAAACGCAGGTGGCTATGGTTGTGCATAGACAAGTCCTGGGCAGATTGATCGGAGATGGAAAACGTGTCTTGAATGTCACCTTCTTCATCTAAGAAGGCAATCATAGCGCCTTTGTTGAGGTGACCGTGTTCCTTGCCGAAGATGGTTACAAGCACGTAAGATTGACCATTCTTAAAAGAAGCCATGCCACTGGCGACGCCAAGTTCCCGGTCTAAGAGAAAATGCATGTTTCCCTCGATCGCGCCTTCGACGTCCTCTGTGTTATCTTTAACCACTGGTATCATGACGCTGGACCTTGGTGGAACGCAAACTTCTTCATATAGAATACTCAGGACATCATGGTGCCCTAGGATTGTCTTCGATTGCGTGGCTTGGTCCGTAGAAAGCGTGATGTGTCTTGACTCAAGGTCGACCGCTGCTCGATTTTCGGCAAGAAAATCCATGCCCAAAATGACATCGCGAGAACACTGCTGCAGGACTATGAAGCATGGTGGGCAAGTGCGCTCGCTGACAGTCACTCATGCTGTGAATCGTCCTGTTTGCAACACGAGTTTGCCTCCGGCTGTGCCGATACACTTGGTCGTTACTTTATTTCGTGGCTTTGCGAAGTCTTCACTTACAACAGAAAAGTCTGCTGCCATATCGATAAGTGCTGTTACACTACGGCCGTCTATAAGCACATCAATGTCAGCGCTTCTGGATCTGGAGTTGTTCGTCAGTTTTGGTGTTGCATCCCGGCTTCTGCGAAGGCTGGTAGTACGGTTGGGGCGTGCCTTCAAGCTTTGTGCGAAGTGTAGTCATAGCAGCTCACGTGTCTCCGTCGTGGCACAGTCGTTCGGCGTGGTCAGCGGAGATTCTTCGTCTATTCGCCGGCAAGCAACTTTACCTCCAAAGGCTGCTTTACTCAGTTTTCCCTGTGTGTGCTCAGAGACCTTCCTCGCGCTCCCTCCATGAGACCCCACCCTGGCGATGTAAAGCGGCTGTTTGACGATGATGGTGATCACGATGAACTGTTGGGCCGATAATGGTTACGGTGCAAATAGTCTTCGACTTCACGTGGTCGCTCTCCGGGTCCCGGTCATGTTGCATCTACGGCAGAACCACGAAGTCCCTTGCGTTTGTAAGGGCAGTATCTGAGGATGTGGCCAGCTTCCCCGCAGTGAAAGCATAGTGGGCGTTGTTGGTCGGGGGTTCTCCAGAGGTCAGCTTTTCGCGGGAATTCCGAAGAAGCGGGACGTTAGGCGAGTGACTGCGGTGGCAGGTAAGGCACGTAATCGTCACGGCGCATGTTGTCGGGACCTTTTTGCTTGCGTACCGCGGTGGCGTAACTTATAGCATGACCGTCTGGGTTTGGAACCACCGGCCGAGAAACGCCCAAAGCCACTCGTACTTCATCGTCTATGACAACCGTGAGTGAGGCTAACAGAAGTTGCGAGGGTGATGGCATAAGTAGCTGCAGCTCCTCGCGGACGGCTTCGCATAATATTTTCCCTCAAAATGCTGGTGCTTTCAAACCTTGCTTGAGGGTCCATAGAAAATATGTGCACTGTACGGTTGGGTTGTACTGGCAGTTCCAAGAATCTAAGGTCTTTTCAATGGTGGACGCCTCTTGCATGAACTCTGCAACAGTTTTGGGTGGGTTGCGGAGTAAGCCAGCAAAAAGGGACTCTTTTACTCCTCGCATTAGAAGCCCCACCTGTTTTTCCTCTGCCGTGTTTAGATCTATGTGCCTGATGAGGAGCTTCATTTCCTCGACGGATACATGCACAGTTTCATCAGGCTTTTGGATCCTCGATTTTAGCAAGATCTTAGCCCTTTCTTTCCACAGCATGTTGGCAAACGTTCTCAGAAAGTCAAACTTGAACGCTTTCCACGTAATTAAAGAGACCTTGTGGTTTTTAAACCAGCTTTTAACGGAGCCGTCGAGGGAGAAGAAAATGTGGGGCAGCTTCATCTCGCCATCCCAGCTGTTCACTGACGCCACGCGAGTGAATCTGTCGAGCCAATCTTCCGCATCTTCTGCCGGCAAGCCGTGGAAGGTTCGAGGCACTAGGGGCTGTTTAAAAATGACAGGGGTGGGTGCAGCTGGTGGAATCATGGTTGACGTCGGATCTTTTTTCGTCTGTCGTGTGCGCTCCGGCAGTGTTCCGGTGGCAACCCTTGTAGGCGGCGGTTACTGCGAGTCGCGTTCCTGCTTCTGGGCATCTCGTCCTTTCCGGTAGCTGTCGGTTCAGGGACCTGGTGCATCTACCCAGCGCCTCCCCCAGTTGCCACTCCGAAACGACGTGCACGAAACGATGACGAGCAAGTCTCAACAAAACTGTATTTAATTGGGCTGACCTGCGCCCGAAGTCAAAGCAAAACAAGTGCCGCACACTGCGGATCAGGAACAAGTGTCACCACACCAATGGCAGTACTCGCTTCAAGAAAAGGTCCGGTTACTCGCTTCAAGAAAAAATCAATCGTTTCCAACATGAAACGTGGCACAAAGATAAGTACATACGCAGATAACACGTTCTTGGTAAAGTGCTCTTCAGATACACGCTTGCTACGCACTTCACAAGCAATGCGATAAGAATGGCAAGTGATCGCGGCGATATGGTATGTTACTTTATCCAGGTCCTGAAGATCACCGCTTAAGTTGACGCAGGCGGCTCCCACGTTGGAACCTTCTTTATTGTGAGGTAGGAAAAGAATAAAGCCTCTGTCCACACCATGAAATATAGCGGCAGTAAGGTTTCACCTTACTCCCGTATCGTGGCCCTTCTGAACGGCCTGCGTTTGGTTTGAAAGAGCTCCGCTCTAAAGGACTGGTCGCCAACAGTCTCTTTCCTCATCACAGTCTTAAAGACACTGATACACGGTCGAGAGCAATGATGTCATTACACTACTCACTCGCTTGAATTTGATTTGGACCTATTTGTATGAATATATTCTGCTGATATAGTTTGTATTTCGGTACGTTTTTGTTTGTAGCAATGTCAGAGTCATAGCCTGAGATGCTTAGCGTGCAGCACTGGGAATTCCCTTCTGTAGTAATGTTGGGTGACTTTATTATATGTAAGCAATTGGTCCCTGTTCTCCCCACTTATATTACCTGTTTGCGTAGTACGAAGAGCCCTCGTGCAGGTGCGTCGCCAGAAACTCTTGAAAAGGCGACCGAGCATTTGCCCGTGACTCGAGAACAGGAATGATCGTCACGAACCAGCTGCATTCATCTTCGTCCACCTCTTCGCTCCCAGAACACGTGCGCTAATTTCTTCCCCTTTGACGGGTGAGAAAACGAAAGAGGAAAGCCTTCATGAGGCAGCATTCCTACAACCGCGTATCCAAGATACGACTGCGAACGTCGTAACCACATGGCTATCCAGGCAAGCTAGCACAGCATAGCCTTGTGTAGGGTAGTAAGGGAATGGAAAGGAGAAGTAAGTGTGAAGAGGAGATATCTTGTGGTGAGGATGTGGGAAATGTAGAGGGAAGAAAGAAAAGCATAGCACAGAAATATAGAGAAAGGGAAGGATAGTAGTAGTAGTCATCATCTGTAGCAGTAGCTTGACTACTCCCACTGCAGGACAAGCGCCTCTACTATATGTTGCACCAACCAACTCGGTCCTGTGCTTGCTGCTGGCACTTTATACCAGCGAACTTCCTAATCTCATCTGCCCACCTAACTTTGTCTCCCCTTTACCCGCTTGCCTTCTCTTGCAATCCTGTCTGATTTTTAATGACCAGCGGTCATCTTGCCTTCGCGCTTCGCGCCCTGCCCATGATCATTTGTTCTTCTTGATTTTGACTATGATGTCCTTAACACCCATTTGTTTTCTGATACGCTCTGCTCTCTTCTTGTTCCTAATGATTACAACTATCATTTTTCTTTTCATTGATCGCTAAATGTTGAACCTGAACCCTCTTTGTTGTAGTAGTGGTAGTTCTTAAAAGAGAGAAAAAAGTTGCTAAGTTCTGCCTGCCTAATATGGCAACACTACTGAGGTCATTGTTGGGGGAGGGGGATAAAAAAATATAAGAGAAAGATAAATAGGAGGAATCACTCGCCGCACAAGAGCAACAGAAAGAAAGTAGAGAGAAGAGATAGGAAAGATGGATTGGGGACACGGTCGCAGAATTGCGAGTATGGGATAGCGATCGGCGAAAGCTACGCTGGCACCAGGAGATCGCGGATGTCACAACAGTTAAGCTCGAAAATAAAGGAAATAAACAGAGAAAGGGCAGAAAAAGGAATAAAGACAAAAGAGCATGACACAGAAAAAATACACACAAACACACACACACACACATATATGTGTGTGTGTGTGTGCGTGTGTGTAAGTAAACGTGCATACAAACAACGCAAAAAACAGAGATGAAGAGAGAGAGAGATAGATGAAGCTAAAGATAAACTAAGAAGGCCTATTCACACATCCTACGGAAAGAGCTGAGCTCCAGGTGACTTTTTTCTCGTCCTCCTCTTTTCCCTCGCTTTTTGCTACGCTGTATGCTTCTACCTTGCTTTCCACCGCTACAAAGAGCTCAAAGTGATCGCCCGCCACGGCTGGACCTCAAGCTGAAAAAGAGCCTCGCTGTTAAAATATAGGGGTACGTGGGGGAGGGTTATAAGTCTAATCCGCGTGTTTGTCCAGGGTACAAACACTACGCGTTCCGTTACAGATTACGAACCAAGCACTGCAGATGCTGGGCGGTTACGGCTTCATCAAGGAGTACCCTGTGCAGCAGTACCTGCGAGACCTGCGGGCCCACATGATCATTGAAGGTGAGTGCTAGCTAGGAGAGAGATTTCTCACAATTATAAAGTTATTTGTACTCCTCCGCAGGAACCAACGAAGTCATGCAGATGGTGATCTCCAAGAACATCCTACAAGGATGATGAAAGGTATTGTCTACCGACTGCTGCTCCCCCAACTGTTTTCTTTGATGTTGCTCGCAGACTTTCGCAACAAAAGGTGATTGAGCATTGTTGGTCGAGCAAAAAGTGGTTGAACTTGCCACGTGGCAAATGGGCAAACGCAGCGCTATTTAGATATTGCAATAGTTGTTTTTTCTCTCTAGTGCCCAAACAGCCTCAAAAGGGGGAAAAACATTTCTGTCAGGTTGCTCAAAACGGCCCTGAAGTATTGTCTTCTGTTAGTGGCTCACCGTCAACTCATTTCACCGTAAGATTTAAGCGAGGCACCTTGTATGAAAGGCGTTACCACCGTGGGCTACAACACTAGAAGGCTTTCCTTCATCCAAGGCGGAGAATGCACACAAGCGCGCACTCTAATGTTGTGAGATGCACGTCTGCGCTGACCCCGGAGAACACTGGCGAGTGCGAGAGTATTTCCCCAGTTCATGGAGGCGATTGGCTGCCGCGTTTGATTAATCAGTGGATGAGGCCTCTCCCGACTTTCGGAGGTGTCACCGCCTGTTGCCCATTGGTGCAGCATTGCGTGCCATTGACGAGGAAACGCCGCAGACTTTGGAACTTTATTATTGAACGCGCTCAATGACGGCACCGTTTTCCTCGCATGGGGAGAGAAGAATAAGCGAGCGCAAATAAGCGGCCACGAAGCGAAGTGTCTGAATTAACGGTGCATAACGGCGAGGGAAACAGTGTCTTCACTGAGGGCGTTGTTGAAGTGAATGGTAAATGCGCTGTATGGGGCGTCGGTTTCGGTTTTGCCACAAGAACTCACCACTCCGCAGTGATTACCAGTGACCGCCTTTCCAAAATTTGAAAGCGGCTGTAGACTATTCATACGAAGTACTTTAATTCGCCCATCTGACTCGATCGGCTGTTTACACTGGTTAAAAAGTTATATGTCTTATTTTCTGTAATTACTACTGTAATTAAAGTTTGTACACGTCTCAAGATGCCTCCTGTAAAAGTAAAGGGAACACCGCAGGTGCCTCGTTTCTGTGAGTTTTAAATAATATTGGACACATTTCTTGAAACACCCTGTATACTTTAAATCAGGGGTCTTAATCTCATCCCAGGCAAACCCAGAATTTAGACTCGCAGATAAGAGTGGGGAGTGGTCAGCTTGTAACAAACGTTACCATTGCAAAGGAGATATCTCACGTACAGGTCATTTCTCAATATTATTTGAGGCCAGGCTTCCATCCACCATGTCAACACCGATGTCCAAGATGAGTAAAATCTGGACACCGATTCTGAAATAATGTTTTTGCTTCACGGTTATGTTCCAAGACATGGTGACCACAAATAATCTTTAGACCAATCATGGCGTTGTAGCTGACGCACATTCATATTATAAGATAGTATAAGAGACGACCATGTGTGAACAGGAGGCCGCAAGGGAGAAAATCGTGGGCCGCATATGGCCCGTGGGCCACTTGTTTGAGACCTCGGTTCTGGTTGTTTTGAATGTAGAATTTTTTGGAAAGTTGTAAATAAGTTCATCTTTAATGCGTTCTCTGCGGAAGGTATTGTGTTACCAAGGAACAATAAACATTTTCCAAATCCTGCAGTCACCTCACTGTCAATCTTGACGGCAAAAACAAAATATGCAAAGTGATACAACTAATTCATACGGGAGGAAAACAACAACAAAAAAAACGCCAGGCTTCCACGGAACTGGCAGCATTGTTGCAGTGATTGATTTGATTGATATGTGGGGTTTAATGTCCCAAAACCACCATATGATTATGAGAGACGCGTAGTGGAGGGCTCCGGAAATTTCGACCACCTGGGGTTCTTTAACGTGCACCCAAATCTGAGCACACTGTGTGTTGTGTCTATGTGCCTTCTTTTGTCCGTGTTCGTTGTCTGCGCTACCATCCATCATCATGCAACCATACCAACAAGCCCAAATCGCCACCCTCATTGAGCACACGGGCCTACAACATTTCCGCCTCCATCGTAAATGCAGCTGCCGCAGCCGGGATACGATTCTGCGACCTGCAGATCAGCAGCCGAGTATCTTAGCCACTAGACCACCGCGGCGGGGCAGCACTGTTGCAGCGAAAGCTATATAAGAGCAACTTTTCAGTGCCTTTTTCAAAGCACTATTTGGGTAACTGATACAAGCACACTTTCTGGGTACCCACTACACCATAATTAGTCCTAGTTTTTGTGTAGTAGGCCAGCATTCACTATGCCACCCTTCATAATTCTTCGGATAAGCGTGGTATCCGCTACAGACGTGTAAAAAATCTTGTGCAATTTTTTATGCAGTGGCTAACGGCGATGAAGAATCATGTTTAAAGTAGGTATGCGCCGCAGTTATTAGGTGATCAAGAACAAGCTTTTGTAATGGGTTGGAGCATTAGACGATCCATTCGTTACGCAAATCGCATTGTGTTCCACCTGGTTCTTCCCTTTGTTGCTCCAAAACGCTTTGTTGATCATATTGCTGCGAAGCGCTGTCGGAGATTAAAACAGTAATGAGGAAGACAACGCTCGCTGATATCCATGAGTTCAAGGAAACAAACAAACAAATAAACAAATATCCGCATGGACTTGGATCTGCCTTGTATGTCTGGCGTTAGGTGTGTAGAGGCCATGCAGCGGATAGTCGAAGGTTCCGGAAGATATCACGCAGTTTGTCAACGTACTCGCTTGGTGTGGGCGAACACTCTGGTTTAGTGGCGTCGAAAAAATCTGCCGGTAAACGATGAGGGGCTCCATAAACAAGCTCGGCACTGGCGCACGGAAAGTCTTCCAGATCGGACTCCCAGCAGCGTGAGCGGGAAAGCCTCTAGCCACTTGGCTGGGGGACCGTGTGCTGTAAGCACTGCTTTCAGGTGATGATGGAAATGTTTTATGAGCCCGTTTGTTTGTGAATGGTAAGAAGTTCGCAGTCGCGCCACTCCCAGTAGCTTGAGGAGTTCCTTGAAAAGCGATGACTCGAACTGGTGGCCGCAGTCTGTGACGATAGTTGTGGGACAGCCGAATCGCCGCAACCCAAATAGAGGCGAAAGCATCGACCACTGAGGCTGCTGTGATATCAGGGATAGGCGTAGCCTCAGGCCATCGAGTGAAGCGGTCAACAGAAGTCAATAAATACCGGTAACCTTGACAAGGGGAAGGGGGCCAACGATGTCGACGTGGACCACTGCGAAACGTTGATCAGTCTGCAGAAAAAGCTAAAAGGGGGGTGCTGGGTAACGATGTCTTTTGCCACGCTGACATGGTGCGCACTCATGTACCCAGTCACGAATGTCAGCATTCATGCTGCACCAGACGAAGCGTGATTTCATCAGCCTTTGAGCTGATTGATTGATTGATTTGATTGATATGTGGGGCTTAACATCCCAAAACCACCATTTGATTATGAGAAACGCCGTAGTGGAGGGCTCCGGAAATTTCGACTACCTGGGGTTGCTTAACGTGCACCCAAATCTGAGCACAGGGGCCTACAACATTTCCGCCTCCATCGGAAATGCGGCCTTTGAACTGCACGAATTCCAGAGGGTGAAAGGTTGTGCAACAAATCGAAGGTTTTCTTACGGAAAGCGATAGGCAAATACGGTCTCTGTGTGTCTGTAGAGGTATCCCAAATAATTGGCATGTCTTCAATGCAGACTGTATCCAGCTTCAGTGATGTTTGCGTATCCCGTAAGGTGAGATAGGTCTGTGTCCTCTGTTTATGCTCTTGCAAGCTCACGTAAATCGAACCTGATGTTTTTGAACGACTGCGCGTGACAGCGTCCACGCGACTAAGCGCGTCAGCAGGAGTGTTGTCCACACCGTTGATGTGCCTGATATCCATCGTAAATTCTGAGATGAAGGCTAGTTGTCTCACTTCCCGTGCTGTATACAGTGATGCAGTATGGCCTATTGAATAGGTGAGGGGCTTGTGATCTGTGAAAACTGTGAAAGCTGCCTTCGAGTAGGTGCGGAAGTGACGTACTGCCAGGCAGATGGATAGAATTTCCTGACCAAAAACGCTGTATCGTGTTTGAGTAGAAGTCATCTGTTTTGAAAAGAACGCAAGTGGTTGCTATGAACCGTTGACATTCTGCTGTAAAACAGCTCCTAGCGCTGTGTTGGAAGCGCCAGTCATGAGTGCCAGCGGCCAATTTGGTTGTAGCTGGGCGAGTAGAGTGGCTTCGGCCAAGGCGCACATGATGACATTAAATGCATCATCCGCAGCAGAGTCCCATTGTAGTGCTTTCGCTGAGTGCTTGCCGCAAAGCATGCGGTCTAGGGGTTCCAGCAGCGTGGTGCAGTTTCTGACAAAGCGGCGGTAAAAGTTTACGAGGCGAGGAAACTGGCAGAGCTTTGTGGTTGACGATGGTTTGGGAAACTCGATGATGGCTTGCACTTTGTGAGGAAGTGGGCGGATGCCGTTGAAGTCCAAGTATTGACCAAGGAATTCGAGGGCTTGTTCAAATTGGCTCTTTCCAGTGTTGACCATTACGGCATTTGTGGGGAGGCGTTGAAAGAACTGGCGCAGGTGGTGCAAGTGTTCTTCGGGCGAAGAACTTGCGAATAGCATGTCATCAACATATGCAAATACGAAGGGCAGTTCACGCACAACAGAATCAATGAATCGCTGAAAAGTCTGCGCAGCATTTTGAAGTACGAATGGCATTCTGATGAATTCAAATAGTCCGAATGGTGTTGTGATTGCTGTTTTTGAATTGTCTTTATCTGCTACGGTGATTTGGGGATAACCACGGGCAAGATCAATTTTTGAAAAAAAAAAAATGGTTGTGCCATAGAGAGCTGAAGTGAAGTCCTGTATGTTGAGCAGTGGGTACCGGTCCAGAACGGTCTTGGTATTCAGAGACCGGTAATCCCCGCACGGCCTCCAATCCCCAGACTTCTTGGTGACAAGATGAAGGGAAGATGCCCAGCTACTAGAGGAGGGCCTGATGATGCCAAGTTCCAGCATGTGTTCGAATTCTGAACAGACCACCTTGAGT